CAGGGGGTGGGGGGACCGGGGGCGGGGGAGGGCCCCAGCCGTGCTGCGTGGGACCCAGACGGCCCCTGGGCACGGCTGCGGCGCTCGCTTCCTCCCGCGCCCCCAGGGACCGCGCGAAGGAGGGGGCTGAGGTCAGCCGCGCTCGCTGCCGGCCGCTCCAGAGACGCCAGCATGATGTAGGCGCTCAAATATTGTTTTTCACAGGGGAGGGGAGCAAAAAAAGGGAGAAAAGAGAGGCCCGGGGCTGAGTGGCCGTCTCCAATGATGAAGGGCAGCCTCCCCCCGCCCTGCCTGGGGCTGGGATGCGGCTGTAGCCCAGCAGCGGCCGTCTGGGGGCTGATAACAGGGCTGACATGGCCACAGTGCTCCCAGTCTCCAAGTGACGCCAGCACCGTCCCTCAGTGTCAGCATGACCCCCGCAGAGACCCCCAGGACTGGCCAAGCTGGGGTCCCGCTGGCCCTGGGGGGCCGGGGGGCTCTGCCACAAACCCGCTTCCCCCAGCATTGTGGAGAGCCCCCGCCAGCCCAGCGTCCTCCCCCTGTGCCCGCCCTGGGGCTCGCTGAGCCGTGGGGTCCGGGCATTGCTGCTCCTGGGGTCCCCCCTCTCCCAGCCCGGGGTGAGCCAGACAGGGCCATGGGCATGGGCATAGCCCCCCGCTTTGCCAGCATGGCCCCACTCCGGCGCTGCGGAGACGCTGGCCCAGGTGTCCTGGCAGTGTGTGGGAAGGGGCTGGTGGCCAGGTCCCTGCCCAGAGCTGCGTGGGGACCCCCCCCGCCCCGGTGCCCCCAGCCCAGCCAGCCGGGGCAGGCCCCCATGCCCAGCCCGGTGCCAGCAGCGGTGACTCAGCCGGTGCCTCCTCACCAGCAGCCGCCCGGTGTGATTCAGGTCGGAGGAATCTGCTTTCCCCGCCGTTCCCATCGCAGCCGCAGCCCCTGGCACAGCCCGGCTCTGGGGGGGTGCCGTGGCCTCGGGGTGTCTGCAGGGACCTGGTGGGACCCCGGCCAGGCACCGGCACAACCCCGAGCAGGGACAGAGAGGGGAGGGAGCCCTGTCCCCCTCAGAGCAGAGCCCCCCACACCGTGCCACAGCCCCCCGCTCCTCCCCAGCGTCTCTCTGGGGCCATGCGGGTGCATGAGCGGGGCCATGTGCTGAGGCTGGTGCCAGTTGTGCCATGTGTGGCACCTGGGGCGAAGCCGGGCACTTTGAGCGGTCCCAGGCGCAGGGAGGCGGCAGCGGGGCTCCGCGGGGGCTCGCTCCTGCTGCAGCGTGTCCCCCTGCCCCTCATGGACGAGGTTCCCTCCTGCTACCCCAGGACGGGGCTTCAGGGGCTCATGGCTCTGTGGTGCAGCAGGACCTCGTCCCCAGCATCTCCCAGGGACTCAGGACCTGGATGCAGGTGCCCTGACCCAGGCCATGCCCCGTACCCCTGCGGCCTCACCGTCCAGCCGGTGATCGCTGACGGAGGGGCCGGAGGGGACAAGGGCTGCGCCAGGTGGCCTCGGGGATGCGTGTCCCCCAGCCAGCACCCAGGCTGGGGCAGAGGGTCCCCAGCTCGCCCCTGCCCGCTGCCCACCCCAAGCGGGGCTCAGAGACCACAGAGGCAGCATTGGGGAATGTGCTTTATTCGGTGCCGGGGCCGGGGGTGTCCCGGGGTGGGCCAGTCCCTCACTCGAAGAAGAACATGCCGGGTGTCCGGTAGAGGCAGGGGGGCAGCCCCAGGGGGTA